TTTTTTCTTTTTACATATCTTATTAAAAGGGCAAATAAGGAATTCAAACCAAAAATAAGTAATTTTCTGTTTTGTTTTATTCTTGGATCAGGCTTTAAAGGGTTAATCAATCACTTTGGTACCATAATAACCTTTAAAGAAAGAAACATTTCCTCTAAAAAGCAGGAAAAACAATTTAAGATTAGTAATCTCAAAAAAAGAAATAACCCCTGCTGTATGTATTTGTGCCCTGTGGCTTTTTCGGGAGTGTTAGCCTAGTGGTTAGGGCACACAGCTTTGAATCCTGAGGTTGTGAGTTCAAAACTCACTCCCACTGACTGCCACTCTGGGTCTTGGAGCAATCCCCTTAACGGGGCGCCCCACGATGGCAGCCTACTGCTCCCAAAAGGTATGGGTTAAATGCAGAAGTTGCAATGTGAGATCAATAAAGTTCAGTTATTATTATTTTAGCTTTTACAAGATGCCAAATATGCCAAAAGATAGTTTGTTTAATGACAGAATGCCTTTTATATATTACGCTGAGACAAACTGATCTAAGTGATGAAGCTTAAGAAAATTTAAGAAAATGGAAAATTTTCCCTTCGTCCTGTCTTTTTTTTTTTTTTTATTCCTTTATTTAACCAGGAAAAGTCCCATTGAGATTAAGAATCTCTTTTTCAAGGGAGTCCTGGCCAAGACAGCGGCAAAAGAATACATTACAAATTGCATTACAGTTTACAATTACATCTATATATAATTAGAAATTCATAAAACAGTTACAAACCATACATCTTATTTCCAAACCTTTGAGCAATCGTTTAAAATGTCCGATTGGAATCAAATCCTTCAACCTTCAGTCTTTCTGAAGATTGTTCCATGCTGTGTACTGGGAGTACTGAAAAGCTGTCTTTCCAGCTTCAGTGCGGACACTAGGTACAGACAGAAGCAAAGACTCCTGAGAACGTAGAGAATACAGTCCAGCCACTCTTGGTTGAATGTACTCACAAAGGTATGAAGGGAAGCAGATGCAGAATACCCTTATAAATCATCATATACCAGTGAGTGAGTCTACGAGTCTCTAATGATGGCCAGCCCACACGTATGTAAAGTTCACAGTGGTGTGTGCGAGGCTAACAGTTTGTGATAAATCGTAGGGTGACATGGTAAACTGAGTCTAAAATTTTTAGAACTTGATCTGGGGCATTGATATAGATTGGGTCACCATAGTCCAGAATGGGTAAAAACGTTGCAGCTACCAGTCTCTTCTTCGAATTAAAAGAGAAACAAAGCCTATTCCTAAAGAAGAAGCCAATTTTCAGTCTGAGTTTCTTAATCAATTGTTCGACATGAGGTCTAAAATTTAGACTTTCATCAATTAAAATTCCTAAATATTTAAAAGATTGAACCCTTTCTATATCTGACCCATCCAAGGTGATAAGAGGATCGCTATTTTGTCTTACAGGAGGGCACATCAAAGTTTGCAAACTGTGACAACAGGCTGAACAACAGACACCTCAACAGGGTGAGTAAAGGGGAAACGAGGCTGATCTATCTGAGAGAATGTTGTTCCTTACAGTTTAGAGGTTCTGGTTGGACACGTCAGCTGTGGGGGGAAGAAAGTGTGCAGCACCTTTCAAACACTCGGATAGGCTGAGTTCACATCTGCAGGGCTGAATCCTCTCAGGGTTGCCTCACTAAGACGTTTGAGGAGTAACTTTGGAATGAGCCCTTTGATTTACAGCATATAAGGCTGAACTATTTTCACCAGCTTTAAAACTCATGTCTGGATGGAATACTAAACATTTTAGCCTGAGGGGCTGTCCGTCTCCATAGGCCTTCATGGCTGACTTTGGATATTTTCAGCATGATGTAATAGCCTGTAAAAATGCACAGAAAGAAGCTCAGTGCTTAGAAATGATCTTCAGGTTGATTTAAAGACGTTCAGAAGCATAGATGTTGCAGTACTTTTAAAAGTATTCACACCTTTTAAACAGTTTCCTCATTTTGTGACATAAAACCTATGAATGTTGTGAAGGGGAAGGAAAATGATACAGGGTTTCCGTTGGTATTTTGTGATTATCGTGGCATTTAAAATGCTTTATTTTTGTCAGATATTTCAGATTTAACTGGTTCCGCGTGTTTGCGCGGAACTGCTTCCAGTTGATCGTAAAGCCATATGTTCGGCCGGATCAAATGTCGCTTGGGTCTGATAGCGAACCAGTTTTGCTAGTATGCCTCTGCACCGT